GCCCCCTAATAACTCCATCATCGATTTTTTTTTTTTTTTTTTGGATTGATGATGTCCAAAGAGTCCAAACTCTTTGCCATTCAGCGATCCCTGCCTCTATCCATTTATCACGGGGCTTTCATTCTGCTCTCCAAGCACTTTGAAGTCTACGTGCCTCTCCTTAACAAACCACTGTCTTCGCACATAACAGAGAGCAGAACTGCTGCCCCAGGGGATGGAGAGACTAGTCTCCAGCAAAGCGAACAAAATGGTTCACTTCAGTCTGCAGCATGGATTTTCCTAAGGGGTGCACAAGATGAACTTAAGCATCCTGGGCTGGCGGGTTTCCTTGGCTTTGCGACTAAAGACTATAGGCTAGTGTCTCAGCTGGCCATAGGAAAAAAAGGAGAATCAAAGTTGGTACCTGCAAGAAGTAGGAGCTCATGGGGTCTTCCTTGTTGTCCTCGTTGTAATAGAGTCCACCTACTATGAAGATCTGGTTCTCTCTGGTCACCAGGCTGACGTGATTCTTCGGGATCTGAGCCGAGAGGGAGGCGAAGTAGCACTCGTTGGCAGTGGGGTCGTAGGCCACAGCCCCGCTGTCGCTCACCATGAAGATGAGGTCGTGGAGGAACATCCCAAAACGCATCGTGTCGTTCAAGATCCCCGGGAAGACGTCGTCCTCTTTCTCATCCTCCTCGTCCAGCGCTCCATTGACGACGGCGTCCTCGGGTTTCTTGTCGCCGCTTTTCTTCACCTTTTTCTTTCTCACCACAGTGAGTTTGCCCTCGTGAGCATCCTTCACCATTTGAAGCTTCTTGAGCAGGTCCGGGCTGGACTTGACGACGGCTTGCTTCTCCACCTGGTCCCGCAGGTAATCCTGGGGCATGAGGCGGAAACGTATGCTCTCGAACACCACGGGCAGGGCCTTGACCCGGTCCTCTTGGTCCTTGGCTGCTGCCCACTTCATCACCACCTCGAAGACGGTCTCCTCCTTCTCGATGTTGAGGGAGTCGTTGGAGATGATGGCGATGAGCTCGTCGGGGGAGAGCTGGTAAAACTCCTCGTCCCGGGAGATCAGGGCAAAGCGGTCGCATATGAAATCCCGGGCTGCCACCGCCAGCCGGGCACAGTCCAGCATCAGGCCCAGCCTGAAGATAGCCAGGCAGTTGCTGAGACAGAGGCGCTTCTGCAGGAAGGAGACGCAGACGGTGAAGATGGAGGGGATCTGGAACATGTTGGCCACGGAAAAAATGTCCTGCACGTTCTTCTCCGTGATCTCCAGCTCGGAGGTGTAGATGTAATGGAGGATCTTGCCCAGGACGTCGGGGTCGACGTTCTCCAAGTTGATCTCCTCCTTCTTACTCTCTTCCATGTCCGAGAGGAACATGGCCCGGAAATACGGGCTGCAAGCTGCCAGCACCAGGCGATGGCAGGGGAACTCCTGCCCCTTGACTTTCAAGACGCAGTCCAAGAACTTGTTGTGGTCCAGCATGTCTTTGAGCCCGTCCTGGAGGAGAGTTTGCTGGTAGAGACGTAGCTCTTCTGTATGATCTATAGGTGCGGCCATGCCGAAAAGCAATCGCTCAGCCGGGTTGTTCTTCTTCCTTTCCTGTCCCCCACTAGAGAGGCTTGAACCGGCGATGGTCCCCCTTCCTCTGAGGCAGCCTGAGCCCTAGGAATGTGAAACGCTGGCTGGGAATACAGCTGGCTATGTGGTTCAGCCTCCAGCGAGGGGCTTTATATATAGCCACGGCATTAGGAAGCTCAAGGAATCCGTATCGGAGCGTGTGTAAGCCGATCACCCTTTAATATGACACACTGGACAACCGGGAAGGGAGGGGAGCTGGGGGGGCGCGGGCTGGAACAGCTGTACATGCAGCTTAGGACCGTCAGGCCTGGTCTGCCAGCTTATGAATCACGGCTGGAAGAGTCGAGGCTTTTCCTCATGACCTGGTAGAGGAGTAGTGAATGTCCCGGGGATCGCACACGTGAAACAACTTTTCCTCCAGATGAGTCAAAAGGAGAAAGCTACTTTCCACCTCACTGAATATCCCTTCTCGGCCCCCGCCAGGCCCCGCTTCTAAATCCAGCGCAGGATGGACCCTGCTAAAAATATACCATTAAGTCAACACAGGCGTCGGATCGTGCAGTCGTTTTGGTGCAACAGAGGCCGTCCGGGTCATTTGATTTTCTGATGAAAGGCAAGAGAGCCATTGTCCCGGTCTGTGGTCATGTTTGGGGGATAAAGTCGCTTTTTTCGTTCTCTCCTGTGTGTCATAGGCCTTCTACTGGAAGCAGCTGATGGAGGCTCTCCTGAGGCACAAGGCACCTCAAAATCATAGAAAAGTATGGTGGGAAGGGACCTCCAGAGGTAATCTAGTCCAACCCCTGCCTCAGGCAAGATCATTCCTATCCAAACCCATTTTCTAACCTATTGCAAACCTACGCGGTCAACCCTGACACAACCACAAGACATAATAGCCTAACCTGTCACCGGTGAAGTAGGGGGACCGCAGCAGGCAACGTCCTACAAAGGTTGTTAAAAATACACTTGAGAGGTCTCCAGAAAGGGCTGCTTCCCCCACCACAGAGGGAGGCAAATGACCCCACAGTCCGTACCAATCTGGCCATGGGGTGAGATTCCTTCCTGACCCCAAAGATAGCAATCGGTCTGGCCCTGAGCTGGGGGGAGACTGGGTTTCAGTCCCAGCAGGAGCATTGGCACAATCCCCTAACCAGCACCAAGTAAAGCCAGACTCTCACCTCCTTGGGCTGGCAAATAATGCTTCTATTAATGCATCCCAAAACTGTATTCGCCTTTTGGGCAGCTACATCACATCCTCAGCTGGGGACACGGGGGCACCAAGCCTCCGTTCTCCGTATCCATATGGCTTCCCGTTACCATCAGGGTGCAGACAGAAGTGACAATTTTTGCCTAATCCCGCCACGGAAAGCAGTCTATAGCTGGGACCAAACACAAGTGCACGGCTGCAATTGAGTAAAAAATGGTGGGTGGAGTGAAAATCTCATCCCCCATTGCATGAGGGGTCAGATGAAAATGTTTCAAAACAGACCGTCTTCTGTAACTTCTGTCTGTGCTGCCTATGTCTGAGGACCTTAAGGCTTTGGCTCAATCTGCTGCCTTCGGCAAACTCTAGGCCTTCCTTGTTGAGCGAGCTCTTCAATCCGTCTCTGTGCCGTAGCGGGACAAACTTTCAACTGAAAAGCAGATACACACCGGTTTAAGCCTTTCTTTACTTTTCCTGGTTCGCGTAAAGGAACGACAGTCTGCAAACAGTACAGAGTCAGAGACAGAGAAAATGGCTGTTCCCACAGAGCTTTCGATGGGATTAGTTTTGGCAGAGGAAGAGAGTAACTGTCCGCATTTAGACTTATGATAACATTGGTCCGTAGATCTGCCCTGTTGTCATTCATGAGTATAAAGCCTTGTGCTGCTCTACACACAGAAACACCACGGGCATAATTCAATCAATTTACTAAATCCAGTACAAGGGTATCAGCCACGGTGACTGGGATAGGCAAAGTAGTATACATCTATCCACCTTCCCTGCCTGAATGTGCCTATATTGGTATAGAGGTGCTTTATATCTGTCTGGTTATTCCTATACAGGATAGGGAAAAACGTATAGAGATTTAAGACACTTTTATACTAGTCTCATTTTATCAGCATGCCTCCCCCCACTGCTGTCCTTTTCTGCTACATGTTTCAGGGTGTTTTTAAGCTGCAACCAACGCTGGGGATTTTGGCTGGGCTGTGACAATGCTCCTTGCTGGGGCTTAAAGCTGGCACTTCTTAGCTAGAGGGTCTTGCCCCTCCTCTAAGGGTCACCCTAACTGTTGTATTTGGGGTCAGGAAGGAATTTTACCCCTGGTCAAGTTGGTACAGACTGTGGGGGGGGGGGTTGCCTTCCTCTGCAGCAGGGGGCACAGCCACCTGGGACCTCTTCGGTGTGTGTTAACAACCTTTTATAGAAGCAGGACATCGGCTATCACAGTTCCCCTGCTTTACCTGTGCCAGGTTTGGGTGCTTTGTCTTGTGTCATGTCAGGGTTGATGGTAGTTTTTCAAAGCATTTAGATTATGGATTTGTATGGGATGGTTTGAATTGGGACGATCCTGCTTTATGCAGAGGGTTGGACTTGCTGACCTCCAGAGGTCCCTTCCAGCCCCACTTCTGCCTGATCCTGCGGTGAACACAACAAGGTTTGCCCTAGTGTAACTATTTCAATAAATGCTTGCACCTATAACTGTTATACCAGTACAAAACACAGGTGCAATTTGTATGTAGACTGGACCTGAAATCTGAACGTACCGCTGCTTCGGGGTTCAGATCAGCGCCCGCAAGACATTTCCAGATATCAGCTGGATACAGTTTAAAGGAGACTTCATTATATAAGAGGGCAGGAAGCTCTGGAGGTCAAGTGATCTTCTGGGGTGTTTGTCAGCTAGGGACAAAATCTCCCAAGAACAAAACTCATGAGTTTTTGGCCCCATCAGTGACAAGCTCTTGGTTTGCCCTGAAACGCCGAACCCAGAATTGCCCCCAAATGCCGAACCCAGAATTTTTGAAGATCCTGGTGCAAGTGACCTGCCCAAGATGATGTGCAAAAAGGGTGGCTGAGACAGATGTGGAGCCCTGATCACCACCTGTCTCTAGAGATGACTTGTCCAGGACCCTGACTGTTGACTTACCTGGAGCACGGGAGATCTGGTAGGTATAAGCCCCATGGGAATGGGGGGAGAGAGGGCATGACTTGTGCAGCCAAGACCATCTCTGTGTCTTTTGTTTCTAGTATGCATCGTTGCATCTGGGGGGCTGAACCCATCCCAATCCAGGGCTTGGTTTTTACCTGTTGGGTCTGGTCTGCATTGGCCCTGTCGTCACAGATTACCTGATGTTGTGTTGACGCCCCTAGGGATGGCAATGGGGAAATGACATTAGACTCTGGCCCTCCGGATTCCCAGCCATTGTCATTTTCTGTTTTCCTGAAGCAGGATAATTTTTGCCTTCCAGACTTGTAGGGTTGTAAGGGCTAACTTGGTAAACTGAGCTCCTATCCATCCTAGCAGATGGAGGGCTAGTATTTCTCTGAGGAACAAATGTAACAGCAGCTCAGACCCAGACTCCAGCTATTCTTCTACGACTGCCTAGCTGAGTTTTGGATTATTTGCCCCATACATAGCAGACTGAATTTTTCTGGTCTAAATTTGTTTTGCCTCTGTCTTTCATCTCTCTTCTTCCCTTTCTGTATTTGTCCTGACTGATGCCGAGTAGCCTTTGAGGTTCATGCCCGTGCTATTTCTTTGTGCTTCTAGCTGTATCCGAGAGATTAGAAGTAACTCGGTCCTGCAGACAGGACAAATGCTGCGATACATGTGGGTCGTGGCTTTGTTCATCCAGGTGCCCCAGGCAGTGTAAGAACAAGTCTGAGCTGTATTTGTGATGAATTCTGCATTGATCTCAGTTGCTTTGGATGAAGCAGAAGGGCCCAATTTAAAACCCACTGAAGTCGAAAGGAATCTTTCCATTGACTTCAATGGGCTTTCAATTTATCAACAAAGAATTTGGTCTCTATGATACAGTCTGATTGTTGTGGATAGCACGTCTGCCCTGATGAGAGTGTGTAATGAGGGAAACTTTTTTTTTGTATTTGAGCCCACGGATGGTTTATAACACCTTCTCCGGGTGCAAACAGGCAGTGTCTTGCTGATAGATGGGAATTTTCTCTGTGATGCTGGGGTCAAATGAAGCCTTTCCACTCGTTTGGATTCTGTGGCTTAGTATTTGCCAAGTATTGGACTGTGATCCCTTGGCTTGTGCTTACAGCACCTGAGGTTTCTCAGTGGTCTCCTGTCCAATGTAGGACTGCTTAGCTTCGGAGATGGGACAAGCTACGTCCAGTCTTAGCTGAACAGGGTGAAAAATGATGTCGGTATGTAAGTGGGCATGTATCGACTGACATGCATAGTCCTCCTACAACCTCTGCAGGTTGGTCTACACTGCTCTGACAGCAGTGGAGCGCCCCATCAACACAGCTTTCAGCTAGGTAGCCCAGGTATCCAGTATGGGCTGAGCAGCCATATATTGTCCCAGCTTCTGGAGCAGGTGCAGCAGCCAGCACCCAGTTCTGCATTGGCCGCACGTGCCGAGGTAGTCTCACCTCTGAGTAAACCAAGATAGACTGTGACCTGCCAGGGGTGGGCGGCGAGACACCAGTGATGCATCTACTCTGCCTTGGCGCTGCGTCTGCTCGCTCCCACGACGCCATGGAGCTGATTTCTGATGTGCGCTGGAAGCTCTTCTCAGGATAGGGAAGGTCACATCCCCAGCGCCGCGCTCGCAGCATGTCCTATCCTGGCAGTGTAGACAGAATCTGGGTCGCCCCCTTGGCTCTCCACCATCCAAGCTTGGCAGTCATTTGGGGAGGCAGGAGAGGAGCTAACCTCATGCCAAGAAGAAAGAAGCACCGCGAGATCTTTCACAAAATCTTTCTCCGGCACACGGCTGGCTTCGCCGGCATCTAAGATTAGCCCCTTCTGTCAGTCCCGGCAGGTGCAGCTGCAAGCTAAATTTAGGCCCTGAGGGAATGGATTATTTTCTCCCCAAGTGAAGCCAGCACATCCCCGGCACAGTCTCAGAGCAGGGCCCCTCCAGTCTGCCACGTTGACGTGAATGGAGTGGCCAGGGCCCTGAATCATACCCCATGGATACAGCCCCACGGCGTTCACCCTTGCCCTGAAGTGCC